GTATGCCGTATGTATAGCGGGGCGCGCGGGCCGCGGGCGCGCGCGGGCGAGCCGGCTGGGATCTGCTCAGCGCCGGTTTAGGCCGGTCCTCTCCTGCTCCAGTCTAGTTCTTGATTGACAGCCAGGCACTTGTTTACCACGGCGCGGCGGCCGCTGCTCGGCTCAATGAGACTGCTGAGCTGGCACAAAAGGGAGCCGGGAGCGAGGCGAAGTTTGGGCGCCTCGGAGGGAGCGGATGGAGGACCCTGGCTCCCCGGGAGGCGCGGGCAGCAGTGCCAGACGTAGGCGGGTCACCGTAATTTTGGGATGAAAGTCACGGTTTTTGTGTATTTTCAATACTTCGATGAAGAAACGTATAGTGATAAGGAGGCAGCCCGCTCCCACCCCCCAGTTTATTAAAAAGGATTGCACACCAAGAAAAGCAAGTAAGGCGCTGGTGTGTTACCTAGACAGCCAAAAGGACTTTTTTTTTTTTTTTACCGCAAACCTTTTCTACATTTTTTGTTAATTTGTTTTCATGACACAGATAATGAATTCGAGCAAAACAAATTGATTGTGAAATGAAAACCCAATTACCCCACACCCTTCTCAAGTGGAAACTACCCAATCAGAATGTGTTTCTTAAGGGTATTGAACAAAATGTTATCTTTGTAAAAAAAATGCTTACTTTAAGTTCAGTCCTTTGTTATTAAAGTGAACGTATAAGGGCTTATTTTAGGTGCTGCTAAAACCAATTGCGTTTTGAATGTTGTCTGGGTGAATATTTTTACCTTTGAGACTTCGCAGTCACCTCCCTTTTGATGGGGTCCCCCCTGGCTGGCTGTGAGTCCCAGAGGTCCTCCCACCTCTGCTTCCTGCTGGGTGCAACAGGAATATTTGCCTCAAGAAACTCAATATTCACCAAAAGTGGCAATTAAAAAAGTTACACAAGCAGTTTTTACTTCCTCACTCTAACGTAAACAGTTGCTGACAGAGTAGCAGTAGAATTTGATACCTGAACCTTTTGTTGAATTCTGTATTTGATAGAATTTTTTTCCCACTAAAATAAAATAGCCTATAAAGTATGTTTTCCTCACCCCCCTCCCGTTCTTTCCGTTTCGGGGTGAGGAAGATGAAGAGCAAGGGTTTTTATTTTAGCCAGAGCAAACAAGATGAAGGCGGGTGGCTGGGATCCTTCACAGCACTCTTGAAGATCGCCACCTGAGAATGTAGACATTTAACTACAAGGCTTGGTTTTCTTTTTGTTCGTTTCAGATGATGACAATTCTGAAGAAGGCTTCAACACTATTCATTCAGGAAGGCATGAATATGCATTTAGCTTTGAGCTTCCACAGACGTAAGTATTACAAGAAATAGAATTTTTCTTAAACACTCTTAGTTACGTACAATCTTATAATTATTCCATAAATTCTTCAGATCTTTTTTTTTTTTGAAAAAAACCCTTTTCATTACAGAAACTTGGTCGAGGGAAACAATGTATTCAATAGAAGGAGCTATTTTTAATCTAATGTGGCAAAATTACAGAAAGCACACCCAGTTATTAGTATTACAAGCAGTGATTGAATGATATAAAAACATTAATATTTAATTTAGCGCTGGTGAATCAGAAGGTGCTAATCAAACAGTAAGTATTTGACCAGATAGCTGATTATCATTTGCTTTATTAAGAGAGCTGTCATAGCCCACTGGACCCGAATTCAGTGTTCTACCTTTTCTGCTCATGTGAATGATTAGCGCTAGAGTGTACGATAAGACTGTCCTAACTGAAGGAGGGGCACAAATTCGGTAGCTTTTGTACACAGAGCTGCTGCTACTGGGGACATTACATAAGATGCAGTAACCTGGACTTTAAAGGAAACGTCTGTCAGAGCTACGTTAGTGGAAAGCTTGAAATATAGTACATTCTTAGAATTTTATCGGATTGCTGGGAAAGAATATAAACATTTGCATAATGCCTTAGAGCAGATACTGAAACCTATAAACTGGTACCAATTGATCTATACAATAAATCATAATATTTATTTTATTTATTGGCTCATGATAATAGTTTATCAAGCCTTGAATGTATATAATTCTGTGTTTACTAATTCTGCATTGGAAGTCTACGTAGAGTGAGATATGGGTGCTTCTACCAGTGTACTGTGGCCTCTGACCTCTAAGTAAGCACTGGACATTCCTTAGACTCCTTGGTAAAACCTTGTGCAGACAACAGGCCTCCAATCTGGGCACGTCCAGAGACAGTTCTGATCTCCTGACAGAGGCTAATGGGCGTGTTTTTCTCTTCAAGCTTTGAAAAGTAAAGGTGAAAACAGCCAACAGGGACTTAGAATGTGAGTGGACAGGGTGTAAGCACCTTCTCCATCTCTATGAATTTATGAAACAGAAAATCATGAGACTATTTTAGGCTTATTCTGTGCTATACTTAATTAGTTGCTATAAAAAGAGGTTCTAATTCCTAGCTAACAAAAGTAGAGCAGTATACGGATTTTTTTTTTCTGACTGTTTGATTGGGGTTTAGGATTTTTATATAGAAATAGTAAGGCCAGTCTTAATTTTATTTTTAAATTAAAATATCTACCTTTTAAAGAATAGTTCATTTAACTTTCGTGATTTTGCCACCACCATTAAAAGTAGACTCTTGAGCTTAAAGAGATTGTATTCTTCTGGCATTAAAAGCAGAATTTCTGTTACATTTGACTCTTATCATTATTTGAAAATAAATGCCTTTCCCCATTGACTTACCCATGTGGTACCATTGGCCCACAGCCAGTGGACATTGTAAGCTTCATAGACAGTACAGCATGGCAACAGTTTCTTCTGATGGAATACTGCATTTTTGAAAGAGGTATAAGATTAATATATCCATTTTTATATTTGCACAGACCACTCGCTACCTCATTCGAAGGCCGACACGGTAGTGTGCGCTATTGGGTGAAAGCTGAATTGCATAGGCCTTGGCTTCTACCAGTAAAATTAAAGAAGGAATTTACAGTCTTTGAGCATATAGATATCAACACTCCTTCATTACTGGTAAGAGATTACTGAGTTCTTCCTTGCTTTTTGACAGAATAGCCACCTAATTTATGCTATCTCCATAACTTTAAGAAGCAATTTTTGAATTCCATTAAAAATACCTGCCGTAAACTGCAGTAGGAGTAGAAGACACAGGCGAAGGAAGAGTGTGCTGCTTTTCACACTCGGCCAGTGTGTGATAGAACACAGCAATAATGAGGTCTGGCCCCTAAATGACTTTAGTTGACAAACAGTATTAATCGTTTCAGATGCTGGCTTAAATCTCTTATTGAAACTGTCACACAGTCTTGGTACCACATTATCTTATTCCAGTTAAGGATAGTTGTCAAATGATGGGGATACATCACTTTCATGGGGAAAAATATTTTTTTTAACTTCATTTTATGATACTAATTGAAATTTGGCATCAAAAGTGAATATTTTAAACAAATGATTAACATCTTTAAAGCACATAAAATGTGTTTTGCATTTTACTAACTTTTTTTTACATTTTCAAAATAAGATGTTGCCATTTGGAATTACAACCAAGTTTAAGACAATTTATGCGGAATTTGGAAAGGGTTTTTTTTTTAAACTTATTTGATTAGTTTTTATTATTGTACACAATGGGCAACAGGTTAAAAGTCTGTTTTGAAATAGGGTACTCAACTTTTAACCCATTCTTTTTTCCTTTATGGAATGGAAGTTTATATAAAGATATAAGTTTGATATAATTTTAAAAACATGTTTTGGGAACAAAATTGATTCTCTTAGTTGACTTTTAGAACATTCTGGTATTATTATGAGTTCATACATTGATGTTTTTTCTCTATTTCTTCCAGTCACCCCAAGCAGGCACAAAAGACAAGACACTCTGTTGCTGGTTCTGCACCTCAGGCCCCATATCCTTAAGTGCCAAAATCGAGAGGAAGGGCTACACCCCAGGTATGTGTGAGGCTGGTGCCCCCAAAAGCAGTTTTCTTTACTCAGCATTTTGTATAGACACTCGGCATTCCTTAGTAAAGCTGTGGGGGTTGTAGGAATCCACTTTCCGTTTACAAGTTGTCTCCCTTTTTGTGCGGTCACTGTGTGAGCAGGTTATTTTATGACAGTTCCCTTGCTTACTTCCGTAGGATAGCTCTTCCTGCATGGAGTTAGTAGAGCTTCAAAAGTCTACGCTTGATGATGTGTGTTTGCTTATTTGTTTCCTAAGAGTAAATAAATGTGTCCCCTCTCCAGGTGAATCGATACAGATATTTGCTGAGATTGAGAACTGCTCCTCCCGAATGGTAGTGCCAAAGGCAGCCATTTACCAAACGCAGGCTTTCTATGCCAAAGGGAAAATGAAGGAGGTCAAACAGCTTGTGGCAAACTTACGTGGAGAGTCCCTATCATCTGGGAAGACAGAGACTTGGAATGGCAAGCTGCTAAAGATTCCACCAGTTTCCCCCTCCATCCTTGATTGTAGTATAATCCGTGTGGAGTATTCGCTAATGGTAGGTGTTATGTAAGATGTTCTTGCGACTTTCATCTTGAATCTGTGGGGTTCTAATTTGGCTTATCCTAGTTTGGTGGAGTGTAGCTGTATGTTTGAGATGTTATATTGTGTGTATTTTGCCTCACATAAACCTAGGGCATTGTACATAAAAGATAAATTTTTTAGAAATTAAAAGGGATCCCAGCTAATATCAAAATGCAGTTGCAATTTTAAAGAAAAATCTCCTTCAAATGCTGACTCCAGCATCTGCTCACTTTTTAGGTCTATGTGGATATTCCTGGAGCTATGGATTTGTTTCTGAATCTGCCCCTTGTCATCGGCACCATTCCTCTTCATCCATTCGGTAGCAGAACCTCAAGTGTGAGCAGTCAGTGTAGTATGAACATGAACTGGCTTGGACTATCCCTTCCGGAAAGGCCTGAAGGTAATTTGATTATACATATCTAAATTTACTCTATTATTATTAAGACTTTTTCTTTTATTTTTAATATTTTACAATCCTAGTTAAATTTTTACCTTTCTTTAGTTAGCATATGTGACCTTAGTAATAAGTTTTGTTGTATGTCTCCTTAGTTTTAATCACCAAACAAATAATTATTCTTTTACATGACATTTTTTTAATATCTACTATTCTGTGTATTTTGACATGCATAAGAACATGTTGTTCGAATTGCGTGTATCTTTTTCCTTCAGCACCGCCCAGCTATGCAGAAGTAGTAACCGAGGAACAAAGGCGAAATAATCTCGCACCAATGAGTGCTTGTGATGATTTTGAGAGAGCTCTTCAAGGACCACTGTTTGCATATATCCAGGAGTTTCGGTTCTTGCCTCCTCCTCTTTATTCAGAGGTAAGCACCAAGTCAAGTATGAGCTATGTTAGGTCTCCTCAAAAGCAGCAGTTGCAGAGTTTTAAAACGATACAGGCTTTTTAAAGATAGTGGCTTCTTGGTTTTCCTGATTAAAGAATTCTAGAACAACACTTTAAACGTTATTATTGTCAGATCTCCTGACATTGACACATGAGTAAGATTTCATTCAGAAAATAAGATGATGGCCAATCTCTAGTTGAACCATTGCCATTTTTGAATGAATGACTCTTTCTTAGAGCGTCAGTAGGAGACCGGGTATTTTATAAGCATAATTAAATATGTAGAATTTAGATTACCCATAATCCTTTTCCAATCAAATCCTTGCATATTTTAGCATTCTTAGTCATGAGAGAAGATATTTACAAACAGCTTCTTAAACAGCCTTCCCGCGCTGCTGTGTTATTATGCACTTCATATTGATGATGCTCGGCACAGGTGTGAATACGATGAGCCCTGGACACTCACAAAGTAGTAAGAAACGTGAACTTAGAAGCAAAATCCAGCATCAATAGTGTTAGGAAACACCACTCATTTAGTGAACTATTTACTGGGCCTCCACAGGCATTGACAGTGTGGGCGGGAAGAGCAGCCCAGCTAAGGACAAGAGGGGTCGGGTCTGCAGGTCCAGGACTCTTAGCATGACTGGAGCCAACAGTCTACATTTTTATAGGATCTGTCAAAATTGGCCTTGATAACCAAAATAACTGTAAATCAAGAGACTCTGTTATATGGTTTATTCCATTATTTTATAGTTTATACTTTTTCATACTGACTAGACTTTCAAGACATTGTTTTTACTTTGAAACCAATTGTTGTGACGCCATAGCTGGAGAAATACCTTCCCTGGATGTGTTCGTGTAAAATCTTCATTCATTTTAGGGACTCAGAATCTGTATTTGCAAATTTTTGAGTAGACATTTTTCCTATTGTACTATGGTCATAAAAATAATTTATACACTGAAAACATTCTGCCATTTCTCACAAATTTTGTCTGTTTGTATTTTGCCATTTCTTACTTTGCTGCTCTCTTAGAGCGTTCATAGCTTTCAAGAGGAGCATTTGAAAAGAATGAATATCTGTCGCTCACTTTTATCTAATTTGTCATAAAATCTTTTCACATTTCAAGATGAATGTAAGGTGATTTAAACTTTGTACAACCCAAACTAGCACTGGAGTGTGATTTAACTAAAAGGTAATTGGCATCTTTTCTTCAAAAATGTGCATTTGGCATAAAACTTGTGAAGTGCTGGGGTTGTCTCACATTCAAAGTGAGCAGGACTTGCCCACAGATCTGAGTTCCATTCACAGGACAGCAGGCACATTGTTCACAGCCTAGGTGCACATTGTTCACAGCCTAGGTAAGAGATGCAGTGACATTTGAAGACAAGACCAAAATATGATTTACAAAGGAGCTGAGTAGTTTGATGGTGTACCCAGTGTATAACTGAGGTTAAGCACTGCAATGTTGAGTGAAAAATCCCTTCCATAAAAAAGATTTTCCTATAACTTTTGTGAAATTGAGGTATTTGTGCATAGCTATAAATCATATTGGTAATCATTACATATGTGCACCGATGCACTGCTTACCTTTGCTGACTCTATACTTTACCAGGTTAACTTTGAAAATTGTATCTTCTTTCTACTAGATTGATCCAAATCCTGATCAGTCATCTGAGGACAGACCATCCTGCCCCTCTCGTTGAAGGAACACTTGCATGAGTCAAGTTGATGTTGGTTCCGAACTCTCTCTCTTCCGGATGAGGACAGAGAAGTAACTTGGAGACACGTTTTTCAGAGGAAGTGGAATTGCTTTTGCCCGGAAAGTGGCAAATACGTGAAACAGCAGTGACCGTGCTTTAGAATCCTACAGCAGCGTTCTGGGGCTGCTCCGACATGCTTGAAGACCTAAGCTTTCTCCTTTAAAACTGCACAAGCTAAGAGCAGTCTTCTTAGCCTGTGGTCATACGTGTCAAGACACCGTTGCGAAGGACGGGGTCCTTCTGAGTTGAAGATTTGCACATGCTCAATGCTTACATTGTGCAGTTCAGTGTCACTACAGCTTTTTTTTCCCTTTTTTTTTTCCATTTATGCCAGACTCTTGATACTCATAAAACTTGTTCGTGGTCAGCACAACAAGGAACAAAAGAAAGCTTTGAAAAACTTTTACATGAAAAAAAAAAACGCACTGACAGTTTGTGTTTTGTTTTGTCTTCTGTTTAAGTTAAGGTAGCCTGGACTCTCCCTGCGTATGCACATGCTCAGAATTGTCCTACTAGGCTGACATGTATCACCTCTTCAGCTGGGATCCTATTGTGGATTTATTTACAAACATCAAATGCCTTCAAGCCAATCCTTTTGCTGTACGTTTTTGCAGCCTACTGTAGTAGATCCGCAACAGATGCGTGGGGAAAAGACAAGGGGAGGAAGCTGTTGAGAGACTTGGTGAGAGGGTTCGGTACCCTGGTTTCTTTGAGAGAGAATGTGTTGCCTTTCTACTATTGACAGCGAAGCAGCATGTTGTTACTGACTGCCTAAAATCACTAATCTCAGGTGACTGCATCACTTGCCAAACTGTCGGAATGCTATTTCTGTTTCGTTGCACTGTTTTGTTGTTGTTGTTGTTGTTGTTATTGTTGTTGTTGTTTTGTTGTTTGATTGGTTTTTTGGAGAGGGAAATTCAGACACGGGACATACACAAAACTGATAACCACCCTCATTACCATTACATTTAAGAAGGAACTAGAGCTGAGAGTGAAGACGGACAGTGGGGCAGCACCAGCACAGAGTTAAGGGCTGTTGCTCTGGAAACTAGTTTTGATTTTTAACTGTAAGTGGAAGTCTAGTCACTAGTAAAGGGAGGGAAAGTGCATTTATTTTTATACAGAGTTACTTAATTACCTCCAAAACATATGTTTGGAAATCATTTTTTGCCGATGCAAAGTACTTTAATAAAGCCAGAATGTGTATGTCAATTATGATTGGAGCAGCTTGATAGATACATTTGCTCAAGTTAAAGAGAGTAAAATCCCAAATTTGTTTCCAAAGTGTGTAACGTCATAATTACAAACAATAGAATGTTTGCTGAGATAAATCGCTTTAATTTGTCCATGTATGGTATTTTTTTCTATCTGAAGAGTATGTATATGTAGGACAACACTTGAGTACCAGCATTCATGGGAAATTTAAAACCCCACCCTTCCACGTCCAAAGTGAAATGATGTTTTTTTAAGAGTGTACTTCTGTTTCTAGTGACACACCAGCATCTCTGACATCGCAGCATATGTGTGAAATGGGTGTTACATCTATCTACCTTGGCATCTAACCCACAGTTAGTAATGTGACTGAAAATAATGGTAACTCTGGCTTGGTGCTTGACCTGGTAAAATACTGTCTTAAAGCTTCATACAAAATAGGCTTTTCCATAAGTGGCCTTTAAGAAAACATGGAAGACAATTCATGTTTGAAATAATGCTAACAGGGTGAAGAAAGCCCACTGTAAAAATGAATCGCGTTTTAAGTGATTCGGTTAAAGGGTTTGTGCTCCCGTAGCAAACTAATACTAGATAATAAGGAAATGGGGGTGAAGTATTTTTCTATTAAATCATTTTGTGAATGTCCCCCTCAAAAGAAGCTGATGGGATATTTGGCATAAAGGGCATTTGGTGGTGTTATTTTTGTTTGGGAGGGTTTGTCTGAAGACGCCTCTTACTCTTCCTGCTCTGTCTAACTAGGGAACAATTGTTGATACGCATGGCTCTGGGGCACTCACTACCATTTTACAAAATACTACATAAGCAAGAATGACCAATATGGTAAAAATTGGCACTGGATGACAAAATTCTTTTAAGACTTGGTGATATAAAGTTTTATTTTTACCATTAAATATTTCTTTACTCACTTAGAGGCATTACATTTTTCTAAGTATTGGTCAGTTCCTGTCTAATGTGAGGGTCACAGTCACGCTCTAGTGTTCAAGATCGCTTCCTAAGTTTTCATTTAGGAAAAGTAAAATCCAAAATGTTGGCGAAACAAAGTGCAATATTAAATGTTTGCTGTATAGACTATACTCTATGGCTGTTTGTAATCTTTTTTATTTGGTGCTGAATATGTCCTTGTAGGCTCCGTTCTAAGAAAACTATGTGGAAAATGATTTCATTTTTCCTATTGCTCTTCCTTGTGGAAAATAAAAGTGTTTTTTTTCTTTTTTTGTATAATTGTTTGGCAATTTATTTATTTGAAATTTGGTGGGATTAGCGATGCACCATACACTTTCAACATTACAATTAAACTCAGTGTTTAATAATGATCACTCTCAATGCTTTGTTTTTAAGTTTGTACTTAGGGAAATTACTGAGGACTTAAGTAGTATGAACCTCAACCATAAATAATGAACCAAATGTAATCAGGTAATTTTGCATTCAGGTGCACCCTCCCCCAATGTGCTCTAGTCCAACATTAAAAGAGGACATTAGAAGTTAGGTTGAAAAACATTGAACAGTTTTTCCACATTTGAAAAACAGTAGTAAATATTCTTAAAAATAGGTGTGACCATTATAGTTATTGGCAACTTTAAATCATTTTGAAGTCAAGTTTAATTTTTCTTGTTCATTGTTTAGGCATGCACATAAGGATTATCCAGTGCCCTCAAGTAGGATTCCTATGTTACCAGGAGACATTAGTATATTATTTGTATGCAATTATATATTTTCCATATTGAAACACTGTCAGCCTTTTACTTCAGTGGAAGACACAGTCTTTGATATGATTAGCAAAGGAGTCAGTGAGAGGAGAAAAATGAACTTCTCAGTTCTGGAACTGGACAGGCGTGGAACAAGATACTTAAGCTGACTTTCTCCTGGAAAGAAGAGAAGTTACAAGATGCTCACTGTTGAAGGCACAGATTTGTCCATTTTCTAAGGAAGTTATGCTGTGCTCTATACCATGTATGACTGCCAGTTCCCAGCACTCTGGAGAAGTTATTGGAGTACATCAAAACCGAAGTGCCTTAACCAGCACTGTGAGTGCTATTAACTGTCAAGCTGGTCTGGATTTATTGACTGCTGATCTTCCTATATGTACCAGGATTTTTTATGGGAAAAACTCAGACTATCTTCAGTAAAACAATGTATTAACTGTTAATTCCAGTTGCATGGGCAATTAATTATACTTTTGGAGTTCAATGTTACCTATGCATTTCCAGAAACGCTTCACTGCGGTGAGATGCTTGTCTTTTCATTCTTTGATTTCATACTATGAAGAGCAGACAAATTTCAACTTACAAACATTTTATTGGTAACAAAATGAGGGGTGGGGAGATGGGCAGTGTATGGAATCATGAAGACTTTCAGACTCCAACACCCACATTAAAGAAAAAAAAAGGCTAGGTGTGATGGCTCGGGCCTTCCGTCAGGCCTAATACTCAGCAGAGACAGGCACGTCTTGTAAATTCAAATTCAGCGTATTCTGTGCAGCCAACCCTGTCTCAAACAAGTAGAAAACTCTCGAACACACCTACAGGCCTTTCCAGTCGACAAGTCTAGCCAGATCAGCAAGCTCCAGATTGAGTGAGAGGCCCTGTGTCAAAAATAAGGCAGAAGTTAACGAGCGAGGCCCTGTGGACTCCTGAGACGTGTGCCCACACAAGGACGAACTCCTAGACACACATATATGCATACACTACACACAAGTGTGTCTTTTAAATTGTATGTCTGTGCATCTATGACTACAGTGTCCATGGAGATAAAAGAGCACACCAGATCCTGAGCTGGAGTTACAGATAGTTGTAAACCACCACGTGAGTGCTGGCTACAGAGCTCATTGTCTGTAAGAGTGTCAAGTGTTCTTAACCACTGAGCCATCTCTCCAGCACCTCCACTCCCCACACATACAACCTCTAAAAAGCAAGTTTATTTTGTTACATGCCAAAGGGGAAGAGAAACAGGATATGCAGTTAATAAGTGAATATGCAAAGCGGATGGCATAGATCTGAATGTCCCCGTGGCTGCTGTGTGTGGACTCTGAGGCAACAATGTGGAACAAGCTGTGATCTTGAGTGTCCTTGCGGCTTCCACAAGGTCCCCTCTCTGTGTCCTGCCCTGATGAGAAGAGGCTCCTTCCCGCTGCCCTAATGGTTTCCCTTGCTGCCATAGGCTCAGCACACTCTGAAACCATGAACCAAAATAAATCCTGTGGGTTGTTTACAGAGATATTTAGGTCACAGCAATATAAAGTAAGTAATCCGAAGGGTTCCTGGTTTTTATTTATCAAAAGCATATGTGTGCACCTGTTGCTGGTATAATGTAATTCAGAAAAGTTAAAACGGGGAACTGGGATGTAGCACAATGGGTAGAGTTCTTGACTAGCCCACGTGAAGTCCCGGGTTCACGAACACCACCTACAAACAGATGTGGTGGCACACACATGTAATCTCGGCACTTGGAGGCAGAATATCTTCTTGAGAATTCACTTCAACTCACCATCCCCTTCTCTTCTTGCTAACACAACTGTGTGCAGTTTGCAGATGCAAAATCTAACTATAATAAGTGCACTGTTAGCCTTCACCTTGCAGAGCAAACTCAGTCCTGAGCTGTGAAGCCTAGCCTGCGCTCTACACACCCACCTTAGTCTGGCCTGCTTCAAGCGTTGGGGCAGAGTGCTTTGTAGCCTCACCTCCTGTTGCATAGATTTTTTAGAAAGGACTTTGGCAGCCCATCCTGCAGCATCTTTTTACTTGTAGTGCTTACTCTGCTAAAAATGTCAGGTCCTTGTGTGTCAACTGCAATCTTCAAGATTCATATTGTTGTAAAATATATAAATGTTTAAATACTGCAGCTTAAAATTTGTACAAATTAATTTCACTCTAGGAAGTAGCTTGAATTTGGATTAGGCCACTATCTGACTTCAAATAGTAGAATCCTGGTATTTTTGTTGTTGTTGTTATGTTTTGTTGGTTTTTTTGTTGTTGTTGTTTTTTCATTTCTCGAGACAGCGTTTCTGTGTGTAATAGCCCTAGATGTCCTGAAGACCAGGCTATCTTCTAACTCACAGACATCCACCTACCTCTGCCTCCCAAGTGCTGGGATTAAAGGCATGCGCCATCACCACCCGGCCTGGCATGTCTTTTAAAACTAGCCCCAATCTGACCTAGTAAAGACCATGTTTGGGGAAGTATATTTTCCCAGGAATTAGTAACCTTCATTCTAGTCTTCCTTTGCACAGCCATCACAAGGAAAAGAGCAGTAACTTCCTGGATGGCATTCTCATGACTAAAAGTGAAAGTTTTCCACGCTTCTAACCTTGCTTCCAGCTACATACACCCTTTGCAACAGGGATGGCAATCAGGAGACAGACACCCTTCCCTCACGATGCCACAAGTGGGCTTTGCAGCTCGTTTGGTTATTTATACATAACAAACCTTGCTCAGGAAAGCAGAATGGCACAATGCCCAACTTTAGCATAAAGATGCGTATGTATATATGCTCTACAGAACAATGAAATTGCTAAGATTGACAACATTTCTAATAACTAACAGAGACCGACAGGGCTTGGTGGCAGACACCTTTGATTCTAGCACTCAGGAGGCAGAGGAAGACAGATCTCTCTGAGTTTGAAGCCAACCCGGTCTACAGAGTGATTCTAGAACAGCCAGGGCTATATAGAGAGACCTTGTCTCAAACAGACAAAACAAGCAAACTAATAGGATCTTGAATATTCCTAACACAAATAAATGACCATGAAAACCATAATTTATTTGATTGTTATGTGTTATAACATAGGATATATAATATACTAAGGCATTTCTAGGATGTGACACATTTGGGTTGACAAAATTTATACAGGAAACATTAATTCACACACACACACACACACACACACACACACACACAGAGAGAGCATTCGGATCTCAGCTAGAGAGTCAGAAGGAAGGGAATTTCTGAAAAGTTTGTCCGTTTGCTAGAGTGAAGACTAAAGTCACAGCCTGCTTTATGGCGAAGATAACTGTGACTCAGGCTGGCGTGAAAGGAGGTTTGGTGGGGGCCTGGAGCAAGACAGGTAAACTAAAAATTCCCTTCAAAAAGGGTGGATATTTATCTCTTCATGTTCTCATCATTTTAATGGTGATATTCGAGAGTGTTAACATTAGATTCTGTCAAGAAGGAACGAGGAATTTGGGGTTACTTCACATGGACTAAATGCTCTCAGATGGAGGTGGAGCCTAAAGCAGAGTCTCTAGCTGCAATCCCTTTACCTCATGGTGAAATGTCTCCCCAAATGCTGCGACTCAGCGTGGTAGAGTTGTACTACCGTTCTATTCCTCTTCGACAGTTGGCTTTATTGACTCAATAAAGGAAAATAAAATTGCTCTAGTTTAAGGAAAATTAACTCTTTCCATTCTCTAAGGATCCACTTTTTAAAAAATGCACTGATGAGCAAGCTTACCAGTTTGCTGGTAAGAAAACAAAAAGTTCTGATTAGGGAGCGATCTGGAATATATATTTCTTAGTTAGGGAAAAGATTGTATGTCTGTCTTCCTTAATCTATAAACTTCTAAGTCCTTACAGAGTGGCTTGGAATGGGGAGATGTGATATACATATTTATCTAAATATAAAAAATAATAAATTTATATATATATAGGGCTTATCATATAAAAACTATCAAGTTCCTGGAATGTTATAATACTCAAGTTCTCTTTATATATATTACTGTAACTAAATCTTACAATTTTATATCTTTACTATTTTATATTTTATGTTAAAATTTTTAAGGAGAAACTGTGATCAATAAAGGTTGAGTAACTGTCTTAAATCCCACACTTGTCAAGTTAAAATTCATTGAGGCTGGGTGGTGGTGGCGGCACACACCTTTAATCTCAGTACTTGGGAGGCAGAGGCAGATAAACCTCTGTGAGTTCAAGGCTAACCTGGTCTACTGAGTGAGTTTTAGGACAGCTAGGACTGTTTCACAGAGAAACTCTGTCTTGAAAAAACAAAGTTCTTGTATTTTACTGTATCCTATGTTAATTGGCTCTGACCCATGGTTTGACCCAAGTTTTTATTTTAAGGGAGCCCCAACAGCATAAAATTCTTTGTGTACAATCTAATTCCACAAGACCTGAACACCACAATGCTAATATTGAGAGTCAAAGAAGAGATCTGCTTGAAGATCCTGAAACCTTTAGGATCTGAGCTCCCAAAAGAGAGTCAAGTGGGCTTA